GAGCACCAATGACAAACATCTAATCTTGTCAAATGTGTGGTAAGTACTGCCGCTCCATAGTATAGAGTCCTTGTGATCACGAATCTCAAAAGTGAAAGTGAAAGTAAAATGAGAGCGCGCAATTGAAAGCGGTTTCAATAGCGGCTCCCTGATGCCTGCAATTTATATACAGTTGCCTATACTTACTCAACGATATAATTGCGAGAAAAAGTATTGAAATATTTTTTTAATCCGCCCATCTCATATGCCATTTATTCCCTTTAGGGTTTCCATAGTACACTTCATTTCCTTTCCGAACACGGAACTGGGATGCGGCGGATTGCGGGAGAGGAGGGGGGATCACGATGTCAGCTTAACATCGTGATGTCTGTCAGCCATCGGTGATGGACGATGGCATCGTCTATCGGCCCAACCCTAATTTGGAACATCATCATAGCAGATGATAAATCAAATTAAAGTGTACAACATATTGTTAAGCACTCATTAAAAGTTTTTTTCAACACTTACAGCCATAAGTTACCATCAGATGCATATTCATAATGGCAAAGCTCCAATTTGTTTTACTGGTTTCTGCACAACTTTCAGAAGTCAGTGAACACAGTATTTTATCAGTCCTCCAGGGAAAAACATCACCAGGCTGCTAAAACGAGAACTTCCAAGGAAGAAATGAACACTGGATTTTACAAAGTTTGCAAGGTTCAAAGATATTCCGAGTATGTATGAGAGTACTGTATGTCTGTGAAATAATTAAGAGCATTTTCAGACGAAGTCTAAATTAATTTTCTACAATTTTTTATTTTTATTATTATTTTTTTTAAGTCAAATCGCAGAATCTGCAATGGCATTATTTGAATGCAAAATCAAGCCGGTCTAATATTGTGGTATGATTGAGATGAGATTTACACTACCATACAGTTTTGAGTCAGTATATTTCTTTTTTTAAAGAAATCAAATCTCTTATTCAGCAAGGATGCATTAAATTGATCAAAAGTAACCATGTGAGGATCCTGTGATACTGAAGACTGGAGTAATGTCTACTGAATTCAGCTTCACTGTCACAGGGATAAACTGCATTTTAAAACATAATAAAATGGAAAATAATTATTTTAAATATAATAAAATTTCACAATATTACAGTTTTTACTGTATTTTTAATCAATCAAATAAACACAACTTTGAACATAAGATATGTCTTTCAAAAACATTAAACAATCTTACCTTTGAATGGTTTGGTGTTGGTAAATATCACATTTAAAAAGCAAACTGTGGTTATATGTTGCAACTATCATTTTAGATATCTTGGCCAGAATAAGTTAGTTGGCAATAGTCAAAAATCTTGCGAGTGGCTGCACAAGACTAGTGTATTAAATGAATGAAACAAAAGGTCAATGGCATCCTCTGCCGGTCTTGAAGATTTTTTTCCTTCCCCCTCCCTCCTCACTCTGTACGTCAGCAGACACAGATGACTAATCAGGAAAGACTAATTTGACTAAAACATGGTGGCAATGGTGCCAAAACACGCTATAAAACCAATTATAAAGCAAGACACCGCTGCCTCATCGAATTTCTCTCATCTTCCCTTTCTCTCTCACACTCTCTCCTGTCTCTACATCTCCACCCTCCTCTCTTGAGCCTGATGCAAGGCAGGTCTAATGTGTCAGAGTCGATTTGTGCTGATCCTTTTTATTTTAGTGATGATTTCTTCCTTTTTTCTAAACCCCCATTCACACACATACCCCAGACACACAGGGCTCACTGAGAGTGAAATTCCCTGGTTGAGGTGATTTAAAGTGTATAAGAGAGAGAGTAAAGGATTAATCAAAACCTAAGGCGTGTAACTGTACTCACACACACACAGTGGGCTCCATGAGTCTGAGACCAGTAGTGAAAATGCCTCTATTTTGCATTTTTCTAATTAAACAGACTACAGTTTTTGATTACAAAATTTATTATCAGCAAATCAATTCCAGTTAAAATTAATTACAAAATTAACATGAGTTTCAGAATATCTTAGCATCAGGAGCTTACCTGTGAGGTTTGGGGAAGAGGAAGTTGGTGTTATTGGGCTTGCGGATGAAGTACTCATCGGCCACTCTGCTGATGGCTTGGGTGTTCTCTTTTTTGACAGGTTTCTCAAGAAACAGAGGGGTCTCCACTTTAGGTCGCAGCATCCCCAGGTATGGAGGTAACATGTGGATAAAAATCTAGAAGAAATGCAATTTTACAGTCTTATAAGTTTCTACATTAATATTCATATACTGTATTAACAGATGATGACTTACTCAGAACAAGTGTAGAGAAATAGTGTATGATTTTTAAACTTTGAACTGCATGTTTGTTATTTGTCCATCCTTTTTTCACAGCACAATAATAATTATGTAAGCAAAACAATCATTTCTAGTGCACTTTATTAATAGCGCTATAGTGTTGTGCAACAACAATCGCCTTGAGATGGCTGAGTCCTCGCTTCATCTGCATGACTTCACAAAGGCTCGAAAAGAAAGAGACAGTTTGCACTTGGCCAGCAAATAATCTTTCAGCCTTGCATCACACATCTATTTTCACATGGCCTTGCTGTCATGGATGAATGTCCTGCAAAACTGTACTGAATGTGAATCAAGAAATGCTGCTTTTTTTTTACTATAATCTTTAGAAGCGTTGTCCACTTGTGATTGGGTAGCTTGAAATGGGTATTAATAGAAGGTGTAAATGGGTCACTGTGGTGTGATGAAGAGGCCACGGCTCTAATAAGTTTAAATAATGTAGAGCTCACAGCCATTGATAAAGGTTAATAGTCTAACATACTAGGCTGCTTTTTGGAAAGATGCTTTTATTTTGCTGCATGGTCTCTTTGCTAAACTGAATTGTTGTCTATTTTGAACCATTATCTATTTGTGTCTGTTTTACATTTTTATCCTTTTTTCATAAGTTCGTAATTGGCAGATTGGGGTGTTTTGGAGTGCCCATGAATAAAAGCAAATGCTAAATGGAAACATTTTCTGCATCTGTCATTTTAACAATATAGCCGTCAATTTGATGAAAGCAGCTGACTCCACAAAATTTTCACAAAAGGGTATCCATCTCCTAACAAAAGTTTTGTGTTTTGCTAATGCTTATTTATTCTCAACCAAAACAAAACCCAAAAAAACATTTAATCACAGTAGAAAGCAAAAAGTTCAAATACTATATGAAATCTTCTTTGACACCGTGACTAGTAGGGCTGTCAAAATGGCTGAAAAACTAAATTCGAATTTTTTTACTTAAATATTATCAATATTCGAATTATATTCGAATTTAAAAGGCACAATTTCAGTTGGGGGAAAAAAAGCTGTTGGCTTCTGTCCTGAGGCCACAAGAGGGCGCATCGAGCAAAATATTATGCACGTTTCTTCAAAGCATAATAAAATAACACGACTATCTTTGCATAATGTTTAAAATAATGCTTATAAACCATATATAATTAATAAAGTTGCTTAAACAATTATATGTATAGTTTAATACAAAGGACAGAAAACCTTGAACTTACATTAATTTTACATAGCTTTCTAAACATGCGGCTGGCTCTCTTGTGCGAGACGCGAGTGCAGCGGTGATAGATGTCCCTCTAGAAAATGCAATAAATATGCATTCTGTGTGAACGGCTTGGTTTCGGTTTTGACGTAAACAACATCTTCCCCGCATTGATTGTTCTCTTTTTCTGCAATATTTTGAATGAACAACGTAGCAGCGCCGCATCTAGTGGGTTCAACTGGACAGGCTAACAAAAGCATTAAAATGCAATGACACTTACATTGTCGTCGCATTTCGTGCGCCACTGATAAGGCTGCCTGACACACACCTAAAATTCGAATGCAACGTTTTTGCATTCGAATGTGGATTTTAATTTAAAATTCGACAAATATTCGAAATTCGAATTTTTTTTTGACAGCCCTAGTGACTAGAGGTTTCTGTACTGACCTTGCGCACCCAAAGGGGCATTTGGTGTGTGCTGGGGGAGCGATGGTGAAGGTTGAGTACCACAACACTGAGGATGACAGAAAAGGTGACCAGGATCATGGTGAACATCAGGTAGTTGACGATAATGGGAACACCCAGTGATGTTTCTGGGACTTTGTTGGCCAGCAGAAGCAGGAAGACAGTTAAAGTCAGCAGTACGTTGATGGAAAGGCCCATCTTCTCCCCTGAAAAGAAAAGAGAGCTTCTCTTGATCTACTCATGCATATACTTACACAGAGTCTTAATTTGTTTTTGTGATAAGATTAATTGTATATAATGGAATGAATTGGCCAAACTATATAAGCTGTAGAATTAGCTTGTTCTAATGATCCCTTCATGATTTGTTACACTCTTAACTGGTAGAACTGAAAGACTGATCCTGTTTAACTGTGCAGGTATAAACTCTATTTATAATGGACAATAATAGGACATTCATTAGTTCAAGGTCAATAAAACGTGAATCTAATAAAAAGGCCATTTGTATTGATGTTTATTAATTTTCTGTGCATACTCAGATTCTCTCCTGTTTTATGTTCTGGATTTAAAGCAGATTTGATTTATTTTACCATTTACAACAAATCTGGTATTGGTTTGAAATAAAAAAACAAAACAAAAACAAAGCAAACACTCCTCACCTGCATCAGGTGGCAAGTAGAAGTTAAAGATGGCAATGATGGTGATGAGGATACAGGGCAGGACGATGTTAAACACGTAATACATGGGCTTCCTCTCGATGATCAGGTAGAAGGTGATGTCCTCATACAGGTCCTCTCGCACATTCTTTCTAGAAACCTTGTGACGAATGTGCCATTCTCCACTCTCTGGATGAGATGACATTGTTTGTTTTTGTGTTCAGTTGGATACATGGCAGAACATTACAATGATATCATATATCATTGTCATTCTGAGTGAATTCAAGCAGTGTGTGTAAAGTTAATGGGCAATAGGCTGAAATCATGTACAAAGCGAGGTTTAAACAAGGCTTCACAAAGCTTCTGAACATTTAAAAGGTTGCTGAGCATTGCTAGATGGTGTCTAGGGCGTTGCTAGGTTGTTTTAGTTCAGAGGTGTCCAATCCTGCTAACAGAGGGCCAATGTCCCGCAAAAATTTGCGTGCCTGGAAGCTTTTAGTGAGTCTGAAGACCTTGATTAGCTGATTTAGGTGTGTTTAACTAGGGGTCGGAGCTAAAATCTACAGGACAGTGGTCCTCCAGGAACAGGCTTGGACACCCCTGTTCTATGTGGTTTCTTAACAGTTGCTAGAATGTTTTTTTTCCCAGTGGTTGTTAGGGTATTTTTAAGCTGTTAAGATGTTAATAGGGCATTTCAAGGGTGTTTACAGTTGGTTGATATTGTAGTCTTAGATGAATTCTTTGAACGATCTTAATGTTCATTAATGAACACCACAGACTTTTCAGTATGAATGTCAAGAGGTAGCAGTGTTTTAGTGTTACAGTGCCATTACCACTAAAGCCTGTGTCGAAGACTATCTCTCGGATTTCATTTCCTCTCTTATCAAGGCCATGCTGCAGATCCACTTCTGAGGAATCATATGTATACGAGTGGAAAACCATGGTGCAATTTTGCCAGTCAAAAGGAAAGTATGTCACCTGCAGATGGAGAAAAAGGTACCAATAGTTTGTGCATGTTAGTGTGCTTGCAGCTTGTCTGACGAGCATCTTTCCTCTCAGATCTTCCTTTAATCATCTCTCTTTCTGCTTTTCACACATGCAAAGACCAGACGGAACATCAAACGCAGCCAAACTAGAGCGAGGCCAAACAAAAGCAGCAATACAAATGAGGGGAGAAACATTCACAAAACAAGTACAAAAGAATCAGAGAGAGATCCTCACTTCTATGAGGAAAAGTAGACTTTTTTCAACAAGAAATGATCCCCAGTAGTGTCCTACTGTAATATATTCATAGTGCTGAGCATAAACACTAGTGATTTAATGCGTCATTAAACTTCTTATGATTTTACACTTCATTACAGTATTTAAAGGTCTCATCCATAACTTACTCTTATCACTACAGTATTTACTGAAAGATGCTGAACATTCATCAACAAGAACAATACCGAAAAAATTAGTGCTTAAAAGAAAACATTAAAGTACTGATGATAGTGGAGCCATTAATATTAATACACATCTAGAATTTTTATGGCATGTTGTTAATGTTTCACAGCCCTTATTTAAAGAATTAGAATGTAGAGCACTTGATTTTTATTACCCAATCATCATCATCATCATCTACACATTTCCTAACGTAATATTGAGTAATTTGCAATATAAAATGTCTGTTGTATTTCAGAATTTACCTTTACTCCGCAGGAACTCTTGTAAAGAGCTGGTGGAGTCCACGTCACACGGCCGTTACTGTAGGCTTGCACGTGGACCTGTAGAGCTACACCAAATACGCCATCATTGCTGCACACACAAACAGGGTTTTAAATGCAGTATAAACTTGTATATCATTACTAAAAACATGAATTTCAAAATTAAGGCAATTTAGATGGTTACACTTCTATTACTTTTCCCCCTGAAATTCTAAAAGACTGAATCCACATTGACAGTATCAGATTCAAAAATCAAGTTTGAGAAGTTTGAATATAAAAAAACAAATCACTTCAAATTGACTTCAAATCACTCGTTTTTCTAAAGAAACATTGTCCAACAGCGACACCAGCAGGTAAAGTTACAGCAGGAGTCCGCGTCTCTCTCACCTTCCCTGAGCCCATTGAGTTTTAACTGACCCCCTAAAGTGTGCCGTGAGTTTGCTGGGGGGTAATTGAGAATGAATGGGGTAAGTCACGTGAGAGGAGGCAATGCCTCCTAGAAGTAAACTTGTGACGTGCCAGGAAAGCCCCAATATGGACAAAGGAATCCGGCTATCGCTGTAGCTATGCTGAATAAAAAGCAGAAACGTTTTGACTGATGAAACTTGAATACAACACACGATTGTGACAATATGTTTTTTGTTTTGTTTGTTTTTCCAAGTCATCTTTAGGTAATAAATAAAGTATATGTATAATGCAGTGATAATTGACAATTTTATTACAGTAGCCTTAAGAATCTATAAAATATATTTTCTGCTTTGTTCTGTGATAAAAATGGCAAAAAAGTGTTTGTAGTACATAAATCAATCATAAAATTGTCACTAGGAAAATATAGGAAAAATATTATAGAATACAAATTTATTGGTTATTGTCCAGCTGCATTAAGAGGTAAGAAATAATAATAATTATTATAATTATTATTATTAGTAGTCAAAATAAATAAACAAATAAATAAATAAATAAAATAAGACATGTCTGTCCCCCTAACTTCTGAAATCCCCTGTGTGGGAGTTTTTATTGAGCAATCAGCTTGGTGAAAAGTAAAGTAAATCTCTGTGTCTGTGACCAGTATTTACCGAGCTTTGATGACTGAATGATCCGAAAAATTCAAAAATAGTTAAAAGTTAACTATTAAAAAGAATAGCTGAACATAAGTTCACAAATAAAATATGTTTAAATTGTTACTGCCTTGAGTTATTATTTTGGAATAAATGTAAAATGCTTAAAAACACTAACTTGATGAGATTCATACTTGGCTTTAATAAATAGAATATTGATTACATTGCAAATGTAAAAATATAAAATATATATATTTTCTGATAGTGTAAGTAATGTTTATTTAACCAAAAAAATGTGACTGGGACATGAATTTACATTTGATTAAAAAAAAAAAAAAAAACTTCACCTCCTCATTTCAGAACACCACCGATATATATTTTCTATCAGTACAAACTGATTGGAATCACTTAAAAAAAACGAAATGGACTGCAGATTTTAGCTGCATCATCACTGCTGAAGCATTATTAGATACTGAACACCCACCACCACTGACTATTTGGCTCTAGTTACAGACACTCAGTAATGCTAAGAAACATGGACTCTGCATTATGTCTCCGAGAGCCATTATGTGCTTCTTAAGAAGTCTGTAAGGTGACGAATGCATTTGAGGTTTCTTTGAGTACAGATGCTGGCCTGCAATTTTTTAAAAACATTTCTGAGAAGACCAGAGTACTTAAAGAGATAGTTTACCAAAAAAAACAAAAGTTACTGTACTTGCACATATTCAAGTTTAGTGTCTCAGTATGCTTTGTAGGTGCTGGGAAACAACATGGGCTCTTTATCGCCTTGTAACCCTAAGTGTGTACACGTGTATAATTTACAATGAATAATGGCTTACATTAAATCCGTTCTTTACACAAAGCTATAATATGACTTAGAATACAGTGTACAAAGTTTATAGACTACTTTCTGTCATTTTAGGAGCTTGACAGCCCCTGCTCATTGTCAGCTTGGAGTTTACTGACACGACACTGTAAATTATGTTATTTTATTTTACCACATATTGTATGGCTGTTTCATAATAGGTAAGAGTAATACCTACAAATCAGATAGATCAACAATTTGAGCCGTAAATCATAGAACACTGGTATATAATCCTCATAGGACACAAACCAGGCTTTTAAAACTTCCCATCTATTATGGTAATGGTGCTCTGGGACTTGAAGATGTCTCCCATTGAACAGTGTGTAGGATGCAATTTGTGTATGTGTGTGTGTGTGTGTGTGTAGGAGTGAATGCAGGACCAGCAAGGCTGCTAGTGGACAGCAGTGTTGTTTAATTGGCTATAAAGCAGAGATGAATGAAGGAGGGAGTATGTTTACACCAGCAGTGATGGGGGTCTACCTGGACATTAAAGTGAGAGTGTGTGAGAAAGGAACAGATAGAGAAAGTACACATCTCTTAATAAGCTTCACAAAAGCTTTGATAATTTCTGTTATTTCTGCTGTTCTTGCAGAAACTCAGCAAAGGCTTTCAAAGATAATGTGCCCGACACTCATAGGTTCTCTGAGATAATATGCAATGACACACACAGACACAGAGACACAGACACAGACACACACACACACACACACACACACACACACACACAACTCACTTATTGATGAGAACAATATCAGGAAGCCACACTTTTCCAGATGGGATGCGCAACACATCAATTCCCCCATAATCTTTGGGGTTCCAGGAGAGGCGATAATCGTTCCACTCCTGTAAGAGCACAAAAGGTGTGTGTGTGTGTGCATATGCAGATAAATGAGGGTCATCGATGAAATTATAAGTACAAACAGTTCATCATTTAATCAAATGATTTCAAATGATCTGGCTTGTGTCATTAATTATACCAAATGCAATATCTCTGCACATTTGTCCATACATATTATCAACAGCATTTGCATAATTTTTCATTTTGCATTCAAAGTTACTTTATATTGATCCTAGTTCTTATTGTCAGAGTTTGTCTTGTGTGGTAACTTTAGCCCAGGACATTATTATGATAGATGACAGATAACTTTTCTTCAATGCAAATAAAGCTTTATACATTTGAATTACGCACAAGACATTATTTCTCAAAATGACACAAAGGAGCCAGAAGAAATTGTGCTGACTTACCAAGTTCATAATAACAATAGTGTTCATCTCCTCATCTTTCATGTTCTAGAACACACACAAAAAAAAAACATGAAACAAAACATATACAAATAATTAATTAATTTAATTAGTGGATACACATGAATTTAGACAGGGCAATCAGTGGTTTTACTATTAATCAATATTACATTTAAGAGTGCATGGCTGTGATTTGGCCACAGGTACGAACAACAGCACGATTGCAAGTGTGATGTTGCTTTAATACAACAGTTCAATAAACAACAAGCTATATATTGAGTAACTCACATTTTAGACACAGTATGGGCAAATATTTAGTTTATATTTACTTCACCAAAGAGAATAGTTTCAAAGAAATATCAGCAATCTGGAACTTACAGTACTACAAAATGAACTTTAGGATGTAATATCTTAAAGAAATGTAAACACTATGCTATTTTGGGTAAGTTACAACATATTCAATAACTTTAAATCTCTGTAATATTTTGCTTGAGAATGAAATTGCTCTTCCTCCACAGCAGGAGCCATAGTGAATGTAAACAACACAGTAATCACCAAACATTATATTATACTAGCATTGTATCTTATTATTCCCTAAAACTGCTGTATTTTCTTGATGGTTGAATGGTATAAATGAGGGATTAGGAAGAAAAACAAGAACATATATACACTGAACAAAATTATAAACGCAACACTTTTGTTTTTGCCCCCATTTTTCATGAGCTGAACTCAAAGATCTAAGACTTTTTCTATGTACACAAAAGGCCTATTTCTCTCAAATATTGTTCACAAATCTGTCTAAATCGGTGTTAGTGAGCACTTCTCCTTTGCCGAGATAATCCATCCACCTCACAGGTGTGGCATAAAGAGGAGTGTACCAACATTCCACAGGCCACAATCACCAACCTGATCAACTCTATGCGAAGGAGATGCGTTACACTGCGTGAGGCAAATGGTGGTCACACCAGATATAGACTGGTTTTCAGACCCCCCAATACAGTAAAACTGCACATTTTAGAGTGGCCTTTTATTGTGGCCAGCCTAAGGCACACCTGTGCAATAATCATGCTGTCTAATCAGCATCTTGATATGCCACACCTGTGAGGTGGATGGATTATCTCGGAAAGGAGAAGTGCTCACTTACACCGATTTAGACAGATTTGTGAACAATATTTGAGAGAAATAGGCCTTTTGTGTACATAGAAAAAGTCTTAGATCTTTGAGTTCAGCTCATGAAAAATGGGGGCAAAAACAAAAGTGTTGCGTTTATAATTTTGTTCATTGCATAAAGAAGGATCCCCGAATTCTCTGCCTCTGATGTATGTTTAGAGTCAAGACAAATAATGGGAACCCTGGCTGCAATGGGAGAAGGGGGTGAAGGGATATTAGAAGCCAAGGGAAAGAACTGAGGCTCAATGGTCAGATCAGTACACAGTCCTGAATGTTATTTAAAACTAGTGTAGGAATGTCAGCTGTCCCAGTCTCAGTACAGAGCACAAACAGTTGGGGGATGGGTCAACACACACCATAACACTCATTTACACATTGTATATACACTTTATATTCCCTTTATATTATTAATATACAAGCAGTGATTTAAATGTGTGGATGGTTCCGGCCTGAATAGTTATTTGGAGTGACACATTAATGCTATCTCAACATGTGTCTTGTTTTGGACACACATTTGGCTGGTCAAGCAAAAATCATGTGAAATCACTGTTCATAAAGTCTGTAGAGAGGGTCGTGTTCCTTTCTGTTCTGAGTAATGAAGGTGACAAGAAACTTTAACTCTGAGACATTTGCAAAATTGCAAATGTGTGTGTGTACTGTTACCCGAGACCTGGTTATTAAATCCCTAATTTTTAAGTTATGAGTTAAGAGTTAAGAAGTGAAGGATAGCATGATCTGATTCACATTCCAAATTCACACACTGAACAGCTGAACCAACCGTCAGACTTGGTTCAAACTAGCTTTTATTATGGGCATACAAAGACTTGAAGCTGTTCTTTTGCAAATTTATCCTAACTCTAATTAATAGCATTTCATAAAGGGGTCATACTATATTTTTTATTGTTTAATTTTTACAGTGATCATAACCAGTCATATAATGTTTTTCCCATACTCTGTGGCCCTTTTTTTTTTTCCTGCTGTGCCTTTAAGAAATATATGTGACATGAACAAAAACTCTTGAGGAAGACCAAGGAAAATAAAATTAAATTCATAATAAAATGACTCCCAAGTTTTTTGACTCCCTCTTTAAGAATCACAGCATTATACACTGCGACACAATGGGTAACAATGTCCAACACACTATTTGTTTAAATAAACAAGCAACTAACCACATCATCTAATCAGCTTTTAGCTGTCAGGCATTCATAATGATTTTGCCCCTAATTCGCTTTATAATAATAATAATAATAATATTTTAAAATAATAATTAATATATCATAGGCCAAGTCAAACTTATTTGTATAGCACTTTTCACAATATGCATCATTTCAAAGCATAAAGCTGTACTGTTAAAAATGAAACACTTTTTAAAATAAAAAACAAAATAATAATATTAATAACAATAATAATGGTATGTGCCCATTAAGCTACATAACTGTGTGTGTTTGGGTCTTCCTACCAGGCTGACGAATGATGAAAGGGTCATGCCTATCCTCACGACGACCCTTTCCTCTGGGCTCCTTGCAGGACGCACTTTAACATTGTATGAAGAAAATAGTTTCTTCATCAGCTGATCTTCTGCTTCTGTTGCACCTAGAAAATATGTTGTTGATAAATATAGCAGCACAACTCTCTCCTACCCTTAGTCTTTAATCTTAAGAGTCTGAGCGTTAAAGCTTTTGCGGGTTAAAGCCCAGAATGTCATGTGTATTGGGCGGTTTACTGTAGGGCTGTCAAAAAAAATTTGAATTTCGAATATTCGTCTAATTTAAAATAAAAATCCACATTTTAGGTGTGCGTCAGGCAGCCTTATCAGTGGCGCACGAAATGCGACGACGATGTAAGTGTCATTGCATTTTAATGCTTTTGTTAGCCTGTCCAGTTGAACCCACTGGATGCGGCGCTGCTACGTTGTTCATTCAAAATATTGCAGCAAAAGAGAACAATCAATGCAGGGAAGATGTTGTTTACGTCAAAACCGAAACCAAGCCGTTCACACAGAACGCATATTTATCGCATTTTCTAGAGGGACATCTATCACCGTTGCACTCGCGTCTCGCACAAGAGAGCCGCATGTTTAGAAAGCTATGTAAAATTAATGTAAGTTCAACTTTTAAAAACAAGTCTCAAGACTTTATGGCGGTTTTCCCCATCCCACTGCATCTCAAGTTTTTAAATGAAGAAAGTACTCTTTGTAATTGGTTTTCGGTCCTTTGTATTAAACTATACCTATAATTGTTTAAGCAACTTTATTAATTATATATGGTTTATAAGCATTATTTTAAACATTATGCAAAGATAGTCGTGTTATTTTATTATGCTTTGAAGAAACGTGCATAATATTTTGCTTGATGCGCCCTCAGGACAGAAGCCAACAGTTTTTTTTCCCCCAACTGAAATTGTGCCTTTTAAATTCGAATATAATTTGAATATTGATAATATTTAAGTAAAAAAATTCGAATTTAGTTTTTCAGCCATTTTGACAGCCCTAGTTTACTGCCTAATTTTTGAATATAGTAATGATGGATGAACGGATGGATCTAAAAATCTGAACATAAAGCTGAACAGATAAGAGGCTCAGCCAATCGCACAGCCTTGGGTGTTCTTAGACCTGCATCATGCACAGTTTTAAGGGTGACTGTTTACTCCACTCGCTCGGCCATCGCTTTCGAAGGTTAGCTGCATCTATAAGCGGGCCTTCTAGGGGCGCCACATTCATCAAGCCTCACCACCTCGAGCCCTCCAGAATAAAAACTGACAGTTACAAACGACACGCGTCACCCCATGCGCCACCTTCATTACCAACGGCTGCTGCTTTGAGCATATGTACACATTTACAGCAGTTTTACTGTGTTTTGACCGACTTTTCTTCTGAGTAATAAAAAATTAAAATAAACCCCACCGCTGTATTCCAATTTTAAAAGACAGTATCATGGGAGAAACTTTATGGAAATGAGAAATCGTAATTTTTTTCTGTATGAGCGTTTAAATTGTGAAATAAATGAGGCCTTACAGAGAATATGCCATCTGCTGCTCAACAGTCCCACCGAAAGCTTCCCTAAAATAATTAGCACAATTAACCTCTCCGAAACACCTTTAAATCAACTTTTAATATAAAGAGTTCCTGATGACAGTCTGACTTGAGGTTAATTTACAATTTTCCCATGGGTACTCGTAAAAACTGTATTCTTTAGAAAATGTCCCTTTTATGTTAAATGGCTTTGGTACCATTTTTACAGGTGGCCAATTCTTCTGACCGACTCATTCTATCATACTTTCACACCATTATTGCGCAACATACCATGGGAACATTTGGTTTAAGCAAAAACATTAATTTATGTATCAGTCAAGCCAATAGAAACCAATGGCAGATACATGTTTCAAATCACCTCACCCTTAGGGTTTTTGAATTAAAAAATATTACAGAACTATAATGTATGCTACAGACATCATAAGAAAAAACACTTACATTAATAACTTTAATATCTATCCAAAAGTGTGATCAATGAATATATGGCACTGCCATGAGGTTTTGTGCCAATTCTTAAAATAGAACTGTGAAAGACTTAATAATTGTACAGTAATGCCACTTACGGTTCACTACAGCCCACATTCCTGACAAAATATTCTCACAGTATGACTGACATGATACTGCAATTGACCTTTTCACACTGGGGTGAGTTACAGTAATTTGACAGCCTCTGTCATGGTAAGACCTGTTTATCAAACCGTATGGTATACTGTAAAATAATGTCCTGGGATTATGTATTAAAATGGAAAGATATGCAAATTACAGGATTTACGCATTTTACTTTAAAGGTAAAATATTTATAGATCAAAAGCTTACTAATAGTGAGAAAGGTAGACTGTTATTTTGTGAATTGAGTTAAAATGCTGTAGGCTAATGTTTGAATAAACATTTTCGATGCATTGTTTGGAGAGCTATACTGCAATTCACAATTTACATGTGAAAACAGTACCAAACCAATTCCAATTTAAACAAACAAAGACGACTACAAGAAAGTAACGTTAAAAGGCTCTTTTTCAACCCCCCTTTGGTGTTGTAGGACGTCAGATGTTGGATTTACTATCAGCTAATCACATCAGATCACACGTGGCGTTACTTTAAAGTTTACTGGGTGTTCACACGTGCGCGCAACACACAAATTCACTTTGGAAACGTAACCTTACCTGCGATTGCGCTCAGGCCATAGAGGCAGCAGGTGACAATAAACCAGTTCTGGGCCTTCATAACGAATCAGCAAACAGTGTTATCTTCATAGAAAGTTAACGTGCGGGTCCATCCGTGTTTGTTCCAGCACACAGTTGGCGACAAGTCAGCCCGCTGTCACTGCGCTCGGGTTACAGACTCGCCGCACTCGGCCGTGAGCGCTCACTCTAGAGTTCATGCGCCCACACAAAACATCTTACTGACAAAAATAGTATTTAATATTAGAAAAATATCTCAGTTATGTTTAAGAACTATGCGAAGCGAAAGGGGGATTTAAAAAAATATTAAAATAGAAAATAGTTGTCTAAACTCATATTACTTCACAATATTACTGTTTATCAAATAAATGCAGCCTTGGTGAGCTTAACAGACGTATTTCATAAACATTGTAAAGAGTTATACATATAGCTATACATTTAATTTAATATTTTTATTTGTATTTTTATTCATGCCTTGGTGAACATGAGATACTTTTTGTCAAAAACATTATCTTTAAAACTTAACTTTATATCATTATTTCTGCAGCTGGAATTTCTGTAAATGTAAATGCATTTATGAAACCTTGATGCAGAATCTGTATAATTACAGTCTTTAAATGTATATTTTGTGTGTAATTGTAGCAGTTACTGTGCTGTTTTTGCAGTGTAAGGATGACATAAGGTAACAAAAGGCCTGAATTCACGAATGGGGTCTGTTTTTCTAATACAAATCCTTTTCCACAGAGCACAGACTAAAAGCATGCATGGTACATTTAAATGTAAATTTGATCCCATATGACGTCTGACATTCTGAAAGCACCCACTGACACATTAAAAATCATGAACATTTCAAACTATTTCCTGCATCCTACAAAAGAGGCAGAGCGCTCATGTCAACCCATATTGAGGTCGTCACTGAGAGTCTTTCCCCAATGTGCTTTTTAAATAAGGCAAAGTGTTTTGATGTGTTTGAATCCACGCCTGCATATTTATACAGTTCTGGGGTGCTTTTGGCTCAAGAGGAGTAGTATTAATGTGCTGTACTTTTATGTAATTCATCAGAGCTGTTAAAATGAATTACGCAGCTTTATCCCACCAATTAGATTAAAGGATGAGATTTATTCTGCTGCTCTAGAGTGTTGACACTTTGATGGGCCTTTTGAAATCAGAGATCAGGGGATTGCTGAAGTTTTTCCTACACAGTTAGAGGGATAAAAGATGAAAATGTCTCTTTAGCGAAGCCTGCTTTTGCGTGGGAACAAAGTGAACAAAGCGACACTTGGAACACATGCCACCTGTCTCCTGTTCATCCTCACTTGAGCACTCCTGTCGAGCCGTGCTGTACTTAAGTAATGGCGCTGGCCCACCACATTCACTGTTTGGTCCTCTGCCAATTTAATCATTATAGAAGTCAACTTAACAACGTATAACTAATGCTGACTCACCTGTAAAATACTATTAAGATGGCAAACTCTGGCACTTACCTGAGCACCAATTAAATGCTTTACTTTAAATAAGGACACTGAATGATACACGTGAATGGATTTTGTCACAGAGCGTTAACAGACAAATGACACTTTGGTTTTACAATCATACAAATATATTAGTTTTATTCAATAATGTTCAATAATATGTCTCCCATAGACTTATAGAAATAGATATAGATTCTATTGCAAATGCAGGGCTGACAGTGTATACAGAACAGAGTATTAAGAGTAACAGTGAGTTAATAATAAATACTAAACAGGAATAATCCTCCTCATCATTTTTTTTTTCATTTTAATTTTCAATGTGTCCAGTAAATATTGGTTCATGCATGACTGTATTGGGTTGTTCCTTCCAACATTGCAAAAAAAACCACAGATGTGCCATTTCCGTCCAAGTGGTCCAGTTTTATGTCTTTTCATTCTGTAAGATGGGGAAGCCAAAGTTTGAGCGATTCTGCTGAGTCTGTCCTGGTGGTTATTGGTTTCTGTAGCTATAAAAAATTAAAAATAGTGTCATCGTGGCTTTGACTGGAAGACCTTTGCTTTGTCTTGGTTTGGAAGACAAGAAAAAAGTAATATGGTTTAGTTTCCTTTCTTTTGGAAGACTTCATTACAATAACTTGGATAATCCATGCAGAACTTACAAAAATGATGGGATTCCTTCGATATAAAGCAGATTCTCATTGTCCATAAGCAAATCGCCTGCTTGTACTGATATGAGGTGGGCATTTTAGTATGCACACAGTTTAGTGTGTACATTTTGTGTGTTACGTCGACAGCGACAAACCAGCAGTCAGTTTTGCTGCAGTAGATTCCAACCAGTGTCCATTGAGGATAAAAGATCATGACCTCTGTCGTCTGGTAGAGCAGGGATCAATGTTCATGACACAGGCCAAGAGTTCTGGCCTATTGCTCTTGGTCACCAGTTGTTTTTTGATGCAAGTAAGCTAGACTGTGACTGTTTGCCCCACAAGGTTGAATGACAACTCATATCAACACTATTTCACCAATTTATTCCAAATAAGCAAATAAATTACCAACAACAGACGTATGAACTTTTGTTTCAAGGGACACAAAAACTGGAGCCACAAACAGACATTTTAGACAGTAAAAACAGTTACATTGGTTCATGTTTAAAAAGTGTCACATGATTATGACGACAAACATCTGAAGAGATGGAACAAAGAGAGACTCACGTCTATTTAAACTTTGGCCATTCAATTTTATATATATATATATATTTATATATATATATATATATATATAAAAAGTTTATGTCTTATATCCTGTGAGATGGGGAAGCCAAACTTTAAGTGATTCTGTTGAGTTTTACAGTTTAGAATATAAAAACTGGTTAAAAAATTTTTTTGTTAAAATTAACATGGTTCGGTCATATCTGAAGACATAGAACAACAGTCACTTCTACTTAAACGTTGGACATTCACCTGATAATAATAATAATAACAATTACTATTATTATTATTAATATATTTAATATCCAATTGAAAGTAATAATACTACTTTAATAAAAAATATCTGAAGACATAGAATAACAGTCACTTCTACTTAAACGTTGGACATTCACCTGATAATAATAATAATAACAATTACTATTATTATTATTAATATATTTAATATCCAATTGAAAGTAATAATACTACTTTAATAAAAAAAAATTATGTCTTCATCCTGTGAGATGGGGAAGCCAAAGTTTGAGTGATTCTATTGAGTTTTACAGTAAAAGTGATGAATTGTTTCATATGTTTAAAAGTGTCACATGAATATGACAACAAACCTCTAAAGAGATGGAACAAGGAGAGACGGGAGTGATTTCTATTTAAACTTTGGCCATTCAAAAGAATAACTGATAATTATAATAACAATTACACTTTTATAATTATTATTAACTTTATTCAAATATTTAATATTCAATTCAAAATAATATTTATTAAAAACAAATAAACAAAACAAAAACTGCATTTGTGACTGCATTTCAGATTATTTCATATAAATTGACCCAGGGGAGACACATTCTGCACAAACATCATCTCTATACAGCCACATAAACAGCAGTTAAACTCTAAAACGTAAGGTTACCTCCTAGGGAGCATGGGAGAACATTGTGACTATCCTAAAGCTGGGATGAAGCTGAGGAACTCAGATTTTTAAAGGTCACCCTCTCAACACACATCTGCTGAGAGACTAATACCCCACTGCTGTGTATGCAATGCAGATGTGGTGCGAGTCTGTGCGTTTAAAATGCAGCAGAGATTCTCTCTCTCTCTCTCGTGGTCACACACACACATACAGAGGCAATGACATTCAGCTGAGGGGGAGCGTGGTACATATACACAGTGCTGTTGTGTGGGCTAAGAGATGTATCTTGGGGGATGAGACTTTGGTCGAAACATGGGAGGAAGGTTGAGTTTTTGTCTTTTCTGCTGCATTGCAGATACCAGGTTGGGGCTATTCCTCATAGTCACGCATACACACACACACACACACACACACACACACAGGAAACAATTACAGACACTGATGATCAGTAAATAAGGGGCTCTGCAGCTTAACAATTCTCTTATGCAAAATAATCACACCACACATCTGGAAAATATTTCTGCTCTCAATTTACAGCGATTGACCCTTCAGAATCCTCCTAATACAAGCAGCAAATTACACTAAACAGGTATGTATGTACTTTTAATGTCTGGAAAAATGGTGTTGTTTACTTGCACTGCCGGTGCTTATGCTATTGAGCTAAAGTCTGATTGTTTTTTAAAAGCCCAGATAGCAACATATCATAACATTAAATATGTATATATGACACAAACCACAGCAAACCACATCACTCTGAAAAATAAAACAAAACAATACACAATTGTTAAAATGTGCTGCATTGAAGCCCATATCCACCACTGAATAAAAAATAAAAAAGGTAATTGCAACTTTTTATCTCACAATTCTGACTTTTTTCCTTGCAATTGCGAGTTTCCATCTGGCAATTCTGACTTTTCTCAGAATTGTGTGATATATATTTGCAATTGCAAGCTATAATGTCAGAATTGAGAGACACAAACATGAAGTCAGAATTGCGGGATATTATAATTCTAACTAATTATAATTCTGACCTTTTTCTTGCAATTCTGACTTTATTTTTTTAAATTCTGACTTTTTCTCAGAATTGTGACTATATCATGCAATTCTGATATTATAACTTGCAATTGCGAGTTTCCATCTGGCAATTCTGACTTTTCTCAGAATTGTGTGATATATATTTGCAATTGCAAGCTATAATGTCAGAATTGAGAGACACAAACATGAAGTCAGAATTGCGGGATATTATAATTCTAACTAATTATAATTCTGACCTTTTTCTTGCAATTCTGACTTTATTTTTTTAAATTCTGACTTTTTCTCAGAATTGTGACTATATCATGCAATTCTGATATTATAACTTGCAATTGCGAGAAAATCTTGTAATTCTGAGAAAAAAGTCTGAATTGCGAGATGTAAATTGTCAGAAATCAGAATTGTCAGGTTAAAAGTTGCAATTACCTTTTTTATTTTTATTCAGTGGTGGAAACAATCTTCTATAAGACTGTTTCTAGACAATCTGATTTTAAAACACCACTAACAGCAAAAAATGCAAACTTAAAAGCTTAGATACTACCTAAAAAATTTAGACAGACACACACATACAAAAACAGTTCATAATAGCAGCTCACAAAAACGATGGTGGCTTTGTTAACACTGCACACAAATCTAATTCGGTTTTCAAATCTGATTTTTAAGACTTTTAAGAATTTGGTAATTATGAAATCGGATTCGTTTGTTCAGAGTGTGGTGAATATCCAGTGAATTTACATTGGTTGGTATAGTGATGATAAGTGTCAGCATGATGCTAAGAGAATTAACAACAACCGAGTCACTGTCATTGTGGAAGGAGGATGGAAACTGAGAATTTAGCCTCAGCTCACGTTTATCATGACATTACGCCACAGCGCTCAACTCACAAGGCACATGAGAGAACATAAGCTGCTTTTTATGCATATATAGCGTGTCAAAAAATGCAGACTCATTCAATATTCACCACAATGTAAATGTCAAACGGTTTGCTATAAAAGTAAAGAGTAAGTGAAAATAATTCTAAATTCACAGCTCTAAATTCATGAGACAGACAGGTGTCTCATTTCAAACCACATGGCTTTTTAGGTTTGTTTATGTTTTTGTTATTCAGACTAAAGTTGAGTCAGAAACAAAACAAAAACTAATAAACAACAACAGAACAAAGCAGATTTTTGCTGCTTGTCTGAACAAAACCAATAAGTCTGTATTGTTTAATCAATTTGAAATAAGCTGGAGAGAAAAGTAACATCTGTTTTTAAAGCATTTATCGACAATGGGTCAATAAAAGGGAGTGAAGATGGAACATGGATGACTCCCTTTTATTGGGGAGAGGTGGGGGCATCACAGTGTGGATGTTACATTAAATCGTTTACTTAAGCACCAATGACCAATGCATACTATCATTTGCAGATAGCTTTGTAATTGCATTGTTAATATTATTGCTTTAGTAATACATTTAATGTGTAAAACGTGTAACATAAACACTGTAAGTTGCCAGCCAATATATCAGTGTAGAGAAAGATCAGTCTGCTAATTATTACTGCACAGACTAACTCTATCCCATAACCCAACATAACACTATTTAATGTCTTTATGACCCTGAGCTCCAAATACTCATCAGCTGAATTACCTGTATGATTCTAGAGCGACTGGTGAACATGCAAATTCAAATGAACAGACAGATTCACTATAGAATGCAGCGAAAGACATGTGGAAAAGTGATGGCCAGCACAAACACTTGACATCATGACCAGGACATACAAAGTAAAAAATAAACATGAAGAAACAAATTAATATGATGCACAAAAATGTCAGTTTAGCAAATCTAGAAAATTGCAGTTTACAAGGTCTTCTCTATCTTTGTATACACGTACAGTGTTTTAATGGCTTGGCTGTTCTGAAAAGCATTAGCCCTTAGCTTTCATCTTCTGGCCTCTGTGTTTATGACTGAAAAACAGCAGCGAGATTGAGAGAGAAGCACTTAGCTGCGCACAGAGAGTGGTTTCATTAAAATAATTGTTAAACCACCCGATCTGGCCCTTATGTGCATGCCAAATAAATCAAAGCAAAGAAAAGGACTAATTTTCTTTTCTTTTTTCTAACATTATGTTGTAAACAATTTCACAATCAGCTCAAACTGACCCAAAGCAAACCTTATGTTATAATCATAAGTTAAGTGTCAATTAGACATATTTGAAGTAAAGAGCAGTAGTAATATCTCCTTTTATACTCATGTATTGGATTAGAAAGCCCTTTCAAATACAAGAGCCTTTTTATTGAGTCAGTAAGTTAGCACAAGTCCTATCATGACATTTAAAAGTTTGAAAGGCTAGAAGAAGTGAGACATTTTAAAGTAACTATCAATTTCATGGTCTAATTGTTATTCAACTGAATGAATAAACCATGGGATGCTAATCAAAGCACAGTTGTGACTTCATACGACATTGCCTTTATCATTATTTAACCTTTGCAGTCTGGCCTGCTGGATTTGGTTTCAGTGTGGCTTCCAGTTGATAATTCAGAACTATATTGCCTTATAGTGCCTCTGTCAACTTTTTTCTTGTCTGTGATTACAGCATTACATGGACCTGCATAACATTAAGTATCAGCCCTTCAGATAACATTGAAGCTTAAACTTAAATGAGCTGTGGACAACGCAAGACTTAAGAAATGCTGTAGTCTGAGAAGAACATTACTGCTTGCAAATCTACAAAACAAATGATAGTTTATGAAGAAAACTCAAGATGTAGTCTTATTGATGTGTACCCAGAAGCTATGAGATGCAGAGCATTTTGATTCAGCCCTTCTGAAAAACAATCTGCTCGGGACGTTATCCAAAAACACCAACTTCTGTAATGGGGGATTGTGAAATACCTGCAGGTGCTGCTGTGATTCGCAGTAGTGTAATCATGGGAAAGATTGACATCCTGATATAAATGTGGAAGAATTTAGTAAATATTCCAAAAGTCTAAAATTTCTTTAGTTATTTCCACTTTGGTCTTAATAACTTTGTTTCTCCCAATAATGCATTGCTGCAGGGGACTGAATCTATAATTATCACAGACATAATTTCCTCAACACCAGGTGCACGGTATGAGAAATGATTCAACTCAGCAGGAGAAAAGTTTGATTTTTTTGCACTTTGTTTAAGCTTTGCACTTGAAATCACAGTGAAGATATAATCAGGGAATGTGCTCTGATATAAATAATACTAGAGCCAAAAAACATTAGACTAAAAAAGCCAGCTAAAATACTCTCTACAAGGGACCCTAATAATTATGCATTTAAATCAGGAAGATTTTCTACCTCCAAAATTATATTATATATATATATATTATATACATTACCATTTAAAAGTTTGGGGTCAGTCAGATATATATTTTAAAAGAAATTAATACTTTTATTCAGCAAGGAAGCATTAAACTAATTAAAATGTGTGTAACAGGGCTGACGAGACGTGAGACGTGTGGATCCATCTGCAGGCTTTATTAAAGAGACGTGGTAAACAGGCAGGGTCAAACAATGGCAAACAGGTATATGGCGGGCAAAACACAAGAATAGTCC